CTCCTCCGGCCCCTCCACGCCTCCTCCTGGGGGGGGGGGCGTCGGCCCCCCCTCAGCTGCGCCGCAGCGCCGCCGTCGCTCGCCGTGTCGCACCCCCCCGCGCGGGGGGGGGAGGGGGGCAGAATCAGAGCGCGGGCGAGGACTCTCGGCGGCGAGCGAGGGGAGGGGTGGCGTGGGAAGGAGAAAACCTGCTCAGGAGGCGGCGGGACCTCTCGGAAGCCCTCGCGCCTTCCGAGAGGCCGTCCGCGTCGACGGGGAAAGCTTCGACAGCTCCTCAGACGGCCCGGGGGACGTCCGAGCCTTCCGAGAGGGCCTTCTCCTTCTCCCCCTCACTTCCCCCCTTCGCTCGCCGCCGAAGGATGGTTGCAGGAGGGAGGGAGGACGGGGTGCGGGAAGAGGAGGGCAGATGAGGATGAGGGTGGGTATAGCAGCGGGGGGGGCCTCGTGCGGCAGTCTCAGTGTCACATGGAAGCATCTTGGACCCTCCTTCTATATCTCTCTCTCTATATCCCTCTTTCTTTCTCTCTGTCTATCGTGTTGGGGGGGGGGAGCATAATCGTCTCGTGAGTCTTGTGTGGGCTCGAAGCTGAACCCCACCAATCCTCTGAGCTTGAGTGGATTGCAACTCTTCCTCTTCCAACCCCACCGTTCCCCTTTCCGAGAAGGGTTTACCCTTCCCATCTCCCCTGGCTCTGCACTGGGGGAGGGCCCGAGGGGTTAGACCGTTCCAGATGGCCCGAGATGGCTCCAATCTGGTCTCCCAGATGACACAATACAAGCTAAGATGGCCTCCACCAGGACTTCGAGAAGCCCTCGGGAAGGCTCCAGGTGGCAACAAAAGATCAGGGCAAAATCTGACAAACGCCTATAACTTCTCCCCTTCGATTCCAATGAGCTTGAGGCCCCAAGGTCGGTGGCGCGCAAACATGGATTAGCGATCCATGGATTTGGCGCGCGGTCGCCAAATCCATGGATCGGAGGGAGGTGCCCTCCCCAAAATGCGGCCAGTGCCGCCTCGTTCGGTGGCGGAAATCAGCGATTTCGCATGGGAACGGGACCCGTCGCTAAACCACGCCCCCTTGATCCATGTTTGCGATCGCCTGACAAGGTGACTTCGTGAACGTGCAAAAGAGGCCCAAGAAGGGCCCGGAGGTGCTCCAACACGGCCTCGAAGTCCCCCAAGAGCATTCCAAGAGGCGATATTTCGTGTTCCAGCTGTTCTATACATATGTAGTGAACCGCTTGAACGAGAATTAAAGTTTCCCGAACTCTTGTGGCATCCCCGGAGCACTAATGGAACACTTCTGCACAATTCCGCCGCTGTGCCTTCAGCGAGCAATTCAAGGCCCCAAGGCACATACGCACATGCAGATGTAGGTGTCAGAGAGATTGCAGGATGCATCAGGGGCCAGACCCCCAATTTGCCATTTGCCAGAACTCCTGGTCTCTTCTGAGCGCATCTGGCGTTTCTCGCGTGGGCTTCTGGGAAGCCGAACCCGTCCAAATCGCCAACATGCTCCAGAAGCCTTCCAAGAAACGCTCATGAACTCTGGGCAACACCAAGGGACCGTCCTGGGGATCTTCTGGCGGCTTCTTGGACCGTCTTGGGGCCCCGGCGCCAAGGCTCCACCAGCAATCGAGCATGCCGGGGGTGAGGCTGGTTTGGGTGGCGTGACGGTGCTCGACAAGGCCGCGCGCCGGCCAATCTAATTTCTTGTATGATGGAAGACAAGACGGGCTGTGAGCCCAAATATTGTTGTTGCACGATTTCTGTATCGAATCTTCGATGTCCTGTCCGACAGTTTTTGCACCGCCCATGCGGCTCCAGAGTACAGTGCGTATTGTATCGTGTGACGGTGTGCTGTTCGCCAGCCAATGCATGATTTAAGGCCTTTCAGACGGTAGCACAGAAGATGCTACTTACGCCATCCTTTTCCAGTCATGGTTTATTGGCAGTGATGAGTACAGTATGCCCAGCTTGCTGGCTTCGTGATCGTCGCCGTGCGGTGCTCTTCTGTTGACGTGCTGAGCGAGATTATCTGCGGTGCTATCTTATGTGATATTGGTTCCCTCTAATTACAAGCACATGCTTCTGGTTGGCTTTTGTAGCTGGAGTGCCACGCCAGCTTGTTCGACTCTTTGTTGGAGCTGGAGTACTTTCAGATATGTCCCCTGTCCCTTGTGTGAGCCTATACTGGGGAAGTTTTCTGCCGTCGTGGTGATATTTTTCTTCGGACGGGGCGGGCACAGTGGCCTCTGTTGCGTGGGCAAAGTGGCCCCCCCTATTTACGGCTCTGTGGGTTCCGGGAGCCTCTTGTTTTCGGCATGGGCGTTGGCCTGATTTGCGCGGAGGGCCTATGCCGGAGGAGATGTTGTGCGAATGCATGTCAGCACTGCCCGCCCGGAAATCGCGCGGCGCAGGACCCCCCCGCTTGTCGTCACCTCGATGGTTGCCCACGGGAGTTTGCCTTCTGACTGAAGGTCAGATTGCAGCTACACGCCTCGACTTCTTGGACCGTCTTGGGGTCCTGGGGGCTGGCCCAACATCAAGCAAGCACGGGGTTGTTCCATGATGTTCGCGAACGCGGCGTTTAGGTCATCAGAGCGTGCAAAACGGCCACGAACAGCTGCCCAAGAAGGCCGTCGAGCCTCCTAGAGGCGTCCAGGAGGCTCCCAAGAAGGGCCCAAGATGGGGAGTTCGAACTGCACTTTGAAACCCTCCACCCCTAGACGGCCTCCGAGACCGCCGTCGGACCCCCAGCGGGCCCCAGGGAGGATTTATGAGACCTCCACGAGGCATCCAAGATACTTCTTTTCCAAGATACTTCTTTTTCACGGCCCATGCACGGTGGTGGATTTGGCTGAACGCCATCACATAACTTAAGATGGCATCTGATTTGGCCTCCGAGATGGCATGGGATGTGCTCAGACAGCTTCCTACATGCATCCTCAAGGCCCCAAGGCGGCCCCAGGTGTAAACGGAGCTTCCCAATAAGCCCCCGAGAGGGCAACAACGTTACAACAACAAGATGTTTTTAAATGATTCAGGCCGTCTCGTCTTTTCTGCTTCGAATGATTTTCTGTGGCCCCAAGGTGGCTCCAAGATCGCCCGAAAGAGCCCCCAAAGGGGGCTCAGACGAGCTCCAACACATCCCAAGAGGCCTCCAACAATTTCCTCAAGAGCGCCCCAAGAAGCGATGTTCCCGGCTTTGGCGGAGGGGCTCAAGTTCAGGACCCCCCCTTCTGTGGTCGACGTCTCCCAGTTTGTCCCAAGAGGAGCCCCAGGAAGCCCGAAAACAGGCCAAACAAAACCCACGAGGCACTCCATGTTTCGGGTCGGGCGAAAGGGGGGGATAGCAAAGGGGGGGTTTGAGAATCAGCTCACGTAGCTGATTTTCCTGGCGCCTCCCGGCGCCAAAGGCGGCCATGTATCGAGGACTGGGCCCCTCGGTGGGGCCGAAACCAGCTGCATGCAGCAGATTTCGTACCCCCCCCCTCTCCCAATCCCCCCCTTTCGTCCGGCCCGAGTGTGGTGAAACATTAGCCTCGAAGAAACCGCCACATCGAACGACCCGTGAAGACATCTCCGGTTCGCTCCTGGGTCTGCTCGAGCTGATCCCAACCTTCGGCTGCACGGCTGCCCCGCCAGCCCCGTGTTCCCAACCTTGTTCCGGCACCCGTCTGCTCCGGGCAACGCTCCTGAGCGGGCTGATATCGGGGATGGACAGACCCCCCTTTCGTAAAACGTGGCAGAGCGAAAACAACCCGAGGCCCAAACCTGGAGGGCGCAAGCCTGGAAAACAACGGCCACGGCGCCCTCTCGAGAACCGAAAACAGACAATTCACTAATCGACGTGTCACTGTTGGGGGTTCTGTCCAACCCAAATGATAGATAGGGGACACGCGGAGCGCCAACAGTCACCGGCCAAAGCCGCGGGCTTCCACATCTACATTTCGGTCGGGCGTGTCCTCCTACAGGATTATCTTTTAACAATTCTTGATTATTCGTCCTGTAGAAGGACAGTCCCTCTTTGAATCTACATCCCAATTTTAAGTGGGATGGGCTCCAAGCATCCGTCAGGTCAAGTAGGCCAAGGACTCGGTGTCTTGACGCCCCATCTTCCGAGTATGTGGGATGCTGGCCCTTCTATATACGACGCGCGGATTCCGTCGCCGCAATCCTTGGCTCCTTGCACCGTTCAGCGACGCGATGTACATCGAGCCCCTCTGACTGAATTTCCTGCTGCCACGTCGCACGCACTGCCGCTCGGAAGGCGCTGCTCGCACCGGCTGCGCGCACCGTCTGCGCTGCCCAACGGCACCTCACACAGTGTGAGAGCAAGGGAAAACTGATCGCGACATTAATTGGAGGAGGAAAAAACCACATGAACAGAAAACTTTTGGCGCTCCGCGCGGATTTCTTGGATCCGCGCCGGACCCCCCTCCCTGGCGCGCGGAGCGCGCCAAAAGACGGCACTGGAGGCGCCGCCGGGGGGCCTAGGCGCGGATCCAAGAAATCCGCGCGGAGCGCCAAAAGTTTATGTTTACATAGTTTTATCTTCTTCGAATGAAGTGGGGTGGTGGCGAGACAATTGCGGACATGCCGGCGGCAAGACTGCTTTGAGGTCTTGACGCGCAGCCTCGTCGGCCCGATCGCGAATCAGTGGGAAGCGGCCGCGCGCTCTGGAAAATCGGCCGAGGGGGGCTGCGTCAAGTCCGCTGAAAAACAGTGTGTGGACTTATGTTGTTCCCATCGTCCTTGCGGACCACATCCCAGAAATAATCTCGAGCACCCGGAAAAGTGTCGAAAGAGTGTCGGACGAGTGTCTCAGAGCCCGACACGTCAAAACACTCGAGTTTCGGTACTTTTCTGGTGCTCGAAACTCTTTCTGGTGATCATGGCTAAAGTAAGTTGGAACATCATAAGTGTGGACCCCTCCCGGGGTCCACCTGGTGCAGTTTCTCACCCCGTATTCGTTTCTAACGGTCCGCGGGGCCCGAAAACGGCCTCCCGAGGCCGGAAAAGGCAAAAGAGCAGTCTCGAACCCAGAACATCGAGCCTCGCCCCCCTTCCTGCTCGCCGGCACCAATACTGGACCACATCAGACCCCATGCGACTCCAACCCATCAGTGCCTGCCCATGTTCATGACAAAGTACCCGATCACAGCGATGAGGATCATGACGATGACAGGGAGCATGCCGCCCGCACCCCCGCCGCCGCCCACCTCGGCCTTTGTGGGCATCATCTTCGTCGCCGCCTCCTCGGGGGCCCCAGCCATGTAGCCGACCAGCAGCTTGTTGCACTGGTCTCTGGCCGCATCGCTGTGGGCGATGTCCTCAAAATCCTGGGTGCAGTCCTTGCCCGCGTACGTAAGGATGATGTCCCCGCCGCCTGGGTGCTCGTTGAGAAAACTTTTCACGTCGAAGACTAGGTCGTGCATTACGATCCAGCAGTCCTCCTCGGTACTGTGCTTGGCGAGCTCCTCCTCGGTGACCTCCTTGCGCTTCGCCATCTTGAGTCCCGCTCAGCCGCTTTCTCGTGAACGCAACGACGACGAGGCTCGACCCGGTGAGATCGCTCCTTCGACCAGCGCGCCTTGATCAAAAACAGCTAAGAAAAGCTCGCCGAGCGTCGTCCGGAACCCCTCCTCTGGAGATCCTGGGAGGCACTTGCGCCGCCTCGGCGGCTGCTCTGTCAGCCTCACGGGCTCTGGGGGTTGGAAGGATCAGACTTCTGCTCACGACTGGGATGTATCAGTGCCGACCGATTTGGATGAAGGGGCCCTGGGACACACAATTACTCTGGCGACGTACCCAACCCTTGCGCAATGCGGGGCATGAATAGCTTGGGAGACGTTATACGGAAGTGATGACGTGACATGGGCTCACATATTTCGGCGAGCGGCATTCGTGAGGCTCGCGGCTCTTCAAGGATTGCGAGGTCCCGCTCAGATCTGCGTGGTGCCTCACTCAGCTGGACCCGCCACCAGCCTTTGAAAGTAGCGACAGTTTCGCAGATCGCAGCCTCCCAGGGACGGCGAGGTCCCTCTCAGATCTGCGCGGTGCCTCACTCCACTGGACCCACCAGCAACCCTCGAAAGTGGCGACGGTTTCGCAGATCGCAGCCCCCAAGGGACGGCGAGGTCCCGCTCAGATTTGCGCGGTGCCTCACTCCGCTGGACGCCCTCGAAAGTGGTGACAGTTTGACAGATCGCCATGCCGGCCCCCCAAGCAGCCCTCGAAAGTGGCGACAGTTTCGCAGATCGCAGCCCCCCAGGGACGGCGAGGTCCCGCTCTGATCTGCGCGGTGCCTCACTCCGCTGGACCCACCCCACCAGCAGCCCTCGAAAGTGGCGATGGTTTCACATATCGCAGCCCCCCAGGGACGAGGTCCCGCTCAGTTCTGCGCGGTGCCCCATTCCGCTGGACCCACCAGCAGCCCTCGAAGTGGTGACAGTTTTGCAGATCGCAGCCCCCCAGGGACGGCGAGGTCCCGCTCTGATCTGCGCGGTGCCTCACTCCGCTGGACCCACCAGCAGCCCTCGAAAGTGGCGGCATGTTCGCAGATCGCAGCCCCCCAAGGACGGCGAGGTCCCGCTCTGATCTGCGCGGTGCCTCACGCCGCTGGACCCACCAGCAGCCCTCGAAAGTGGCGACAATGTCGCAGATCGCAGCTTCCCAGGGACGGCGAGGTCCCGCTCAGATCTACGCGGTGCCTCACTCCGCTGGACCCACCAGGAGCCCTCGAAAGTGGCGACAGTGTCGCAGATCGCAACCCCCCAGGGACGGCGATGTCCCGCTCAGATCTGCGCGGTGCCTCACTGCCTCGCTCCGCTGGACCCACCAGCAGCCCTCGAAAGTGGCGACGGTTTCGCAGATCGCAGCCCCCCAGGGACGGCGAGGTCCCGCTCTGATCTGCGCGGTGCCTCACTCCGCTGGACCCACCAGCAGCCCTCGAAAGTGGCGACAGTTTTGCAGATCGCAGCCCCCCAAGGACGGCGAGGTCCCGTTCAGATCTGCGCGGTGCCTCACGCCGCTGGACCCACCAGCAGTCCTCGAAAGTGGCGACAATGTCGCAGATCGCAGCCTCCCAGGGACGGCGAGGTCCCGCTGTGATCTGCACGGTGCCTCACTCCGCTGGACCCACCAGCAGCCCACCAAGGACGGCGAGGTCCCGCTCTAATCTGCGCGGTGCCTCACTCCGCTGGACCCACCAGCAGCCCTCGAAAGTGGCGGCATGTTCGCAGATCGCAGCCCCCCAGGGACGGCGAGGTCCCGCTCTGATCCGCGCGGTGTCTCACTTAGCTGGACCCACCAGCAACCCTCGAAAGTGGCGACAATTTCGCAGATCGCAACCCCTCAAGGACGGCGAGGTCCCGCTAGCTATGACCCGCGCGGTGCCCCACTCCACTGGACCCACCAGCAGCCTTCGAAAGTGGCGACAATTTCGCAGATCGCAGCCCCCCAGGGACGGCGAGGTCCCGCTCAGATCTGCGCGGTGCCTCACTCCGCTGGACCCACCAGCAGCCCTCGAAAGTGGCGACAATGTCGCAGATCGCAACCCCCCAGGGATTGCGATGTCCGCTCAGATCTGCGCGGTGCCTCACTCCGCTGGACCCACCAGCAGCCCTCGAAAGTGGCGACAATGTCGCAGATCGCAGCCCCCCAGGGACGGCGATGTCCCGCTCAGATCTGCGCGGTGCCTCACTCCGCTGGACCCACCAGGAGCCCTCGAAAGTGGCGACAGTGTCGCAGATCGCAACCCCCCAGGGACGGCGATGTCCCGCTCAGATCTGCGCGGTGCCTCACTGCCTCGCTCCGCTGGACCCACCAGCAGCCCTCGAAAATGGCGACAGTTTTGCAGATCGCAGCCCCCCAGGGACGGCGAGGTCCCGCTCTGATCTGCGCGGTGCCTCACTCCGCTGGACCCACCAGCAGCCCTCGAAAGTGGCGACAATTTTGCAGATCGCAGCCCCCCAAGGACGGCGAGGTCCCGCTCTAATCTGCGCGGTGCCTCACGCCGCTGGACCCACCAGCAGCCCTCGAAAGTGGCGACAATGTCGCAAATCGCAGCCTCCCAGGGACGGCGAGGTCCCGCTCTGATCTGCGCGGTGCCTCACTCCGCTGGACCCACCAGCAGCCCTCGAAAGTGGCGACAATTTCGTAGATCGCAGCCCACCAGGGACGGCGAGGTCCCGCTCTGATCTGCGCGGTGCCTCACTCCGCTGGACCCACCAGCAGCCCTCGAAAGTGGCGGCATGTTCGCAGATCGCAGCCCCCCAGGGACGGCGAGGTCCCGCTCAGATCCGCGCGGTGCCTCACTTAGCTGGACCCCCCAGCAACCCTCGAAAGTGGCGACAATTTCGCAGATCGCAACTCCTCAGGGACGGCGAGGTCCCGCTAGCTATGATCCGCGCGGTGCCCCACTCCGCTGGACCCACCAGCAGCCTTCGAAAGTGGCGACATATTCGCAATTCGCATATCGCAGCCCCCCAGGGACGGCGAGGTCCCGCTAGGGGGACATGCCCGACCTATCCCTGGATGGGGATATGGGTCAATTCCCTTCGGGTTTCGATGGGGTGCATCCCCGACCTCGGATGGCAATTCGGTGGTGGTCTCGCAGGGGATGGGGCTGGGGATGGGGATCGGTGAAACGATACCGAGACGTGGATATCTCGGGCTTCGGGGATCTTCTGACCCGGGTCCATCCAGACCCGGGTCAGCAGGAAACCAAACAACTGCAGTGCAGGAACCAACAAAAACTGCAACGCAAGTCTTCGCAGACCCGGCTCAGCCAATTTGCGCGGCCGCCTCGCGGCCACGAGCGGCTCCCTAACCCCGGGTCAGCCAGAGGGGGCCTTCGCAGGATCCTGCAGGATCCGGTGCCCTGGCTGACCCCCGTTTGCACTGACCCCCGTCTCCAACAGCCAGGACGCTGAAATAAGGCCGCTTTGGGTTCGGAAGGGGCTCGGGGATCTGGGTCGCTTCTCAGATCTCTATGTCGCGGGACTTGCTCGTGGCCTGGGCCCACCGTGGCCAGAAGAGCCATTGTTGCTCCTTCTCTGGCGCTCCTTCTGGTAGCACCTCGACTGCAGGCCCCGAGGGCTCTCAGCCCGAGAGCCTCCGGGGGGGCCCGCCTCCATTTGGACGCCCGAAGTTGGTACGGAAAGAATGGGTACAACGCCCAACAACAAAGGTTGTCCCAAACCACCAGCGGCCGCTGTTGGGCAGGCGGCCTCCTGTCTCAAATGTACACAGGCCGCGGCGACACCGACAGCGAGTCCTGTTCAAAAGGAACTGGAACCGCTGTTGGGCATTTTGCCCATTCTTTCCGTACCCATTTCGGGCGTCCAAACGGACTCCAAGTTTGGGGGGGGGGGGGGCACGGGCATCCCTCCGTGCGCGGGCGGCGCAGCTCCGGCCTGGGCCCTGGCGGGCGAGAGCGCGCCTCCCCAGGGGCAGGACGCCGAGGAGAACGACGCCCCCCCAACCCACAGACATCCTTCCCGTCGTCCGCGCACTCCCGGCTCTGCTGCTTCCTCTCTGTCTGCCACCGAGGAAAGGAAAAGAACGGATGAGGGGGGGGGGGCAGAGGAGGAGGAGGAGGAGGAGGAGGAGGAGGAGGAGGAGGAGGAGGAGGAGGAGGAGGAGGAGCCGACGACGACGACGGTCGCACCGCCGACTCCCAAACAGCGTTTGCCCTACGCCGCGCAGACACCGCCTGGGGTCCACGCAGCACCCCGATTCCCCAAAGAGTGCTTGCACTTACGTGGACTCAGTCCCCCGACCTCCCGCAGGGTCGATCCTGGCTAACTCTTCGGGCCGCGTCTGGCTGTGGCGACGGTGAGCTCCAGAAGCGCCCGAGAACCTCTCAAGTCGACGACGTCGATGGGGTGGAACGATCAGGGGAACAACTCAGGCGGGGGAAGCACCGTCATCGAGCTTGAAGCGACGACACTCGCCAATAGATCGGAGAAAGCCGGCAACAAAAACGTACACTGGGAGCTCGACCACAAGAAACCTTCCACAAAACACCCGACCCTGAGACCCCAGGACGTGCACTAACTGCTGGCGTGGGAACACCACGCGTTCCATAGCAAGACCCTCGAAACCCAAGAGAAACACCCAGGGCACCCCGGACGCAAGCAGGGTGTTGCTTGGCATGGGCTTCCACGGCGCTCGCCGAGAGGGATCGGGGAACGCCCGCAAGCAAAAACGGGGCGCGCCCCCCGAAGCAAACGTCCAACGCGGGGGACACGGGCCCGGGCCGTCGGCCCGCGAAGACTGGCCCGTATCCCCCCCCCACTGAGATCCGACGATGTGAAACACTGGACGAGCGCGTTCCGCTACTCGCAAAGTCACTACTCGCAAATGGCCTGGATCCGCCGCGGAGGATGTACGATAAAAAATACATCAGGGCGAACTTGTGATGTTTGGACGTTTGCGAGTGGGCACTTTGCGAGTAGTGGAACGCGCTCGGTGAAACACTGTAACCTGGTGCAGATCGGAAAGGGGCCGACCGCCCCGGCAGTCCTACAGGCCCACCACGCCATGATTGCAGAAACCGAGATATGTTCGAAACATGATAACCACACCCTGAGAGCACAAGCCCGGTGTGTCAAAGCAGGATGGTCCCACCCAGAGCTGTCCTAAGAACACCTCGTGCAAACCACAAAGACAAAGCTGACCGGAGCCTTCTCGAGTGGGCCCATAGGCAAAGCAGGAAGCTTGGCCGCTGCTTGAGCCAGATCTCTGCGGCCTGTCTCGGGCCACATCGGCCTGCCGAGGGCCCCATAGGGGA